ATAAATTAAATAATTTATAATTAATTTTATAAAGGTGAATAAATTATAAATAATTTTATAAATGTAATAAATTAAACTATTTATAAAATTATTTATATCAATAATAATAAATTATATATATTTTAATAATCGACACACGAATTCAACATGCTTATAAATCGGAAAAAAGTTACAATAATTTTATAAACAGGAATAAGTTAATATCATTTTATATAAATTAATGGTATAATATAATGTATTAAATATTTATATAACACTTTATTAAATAAATTTATTTCATGAAATTAATTTTATATAATATCATTAATATTTAATTATTGAAAATTCGCAATAAACTGAAAAATATTTATTATAAATCGAATATAATAAAACATAAGAAATAAATACATAATTTTGAAATGTTATATATGATTCATTGTAATAATAAATGTTAAATTATTATTTAATATTATAATAAATTTTCCGATATTCTTAGATTTAATTTATTCTTTTTCCCGTATATAATAATAATATTATTTTATTATTTAATATTATAATTTTTGATTGACAATAATAAATTCATTTTAATTAGTTAGACATTAAGATAATAAATTTAATATATATCACTAATACACGATATTTATTTATAAATGTAATTAACTAAGAGACACATATTTATCACTGTTGAATAAATAAATTTAAGATGATATGGTAAATATTTATTTTTACAATTATTTTTATAAACTTAAATAACTTACAAATATTTTTATAAACGAACAAAATTCAAATATTGATGTAATTGTTTTTAACATGAATAAGTTAAAATGTTTTTATAAATTGTCACACGGGTTAAAGACACTTATAAATGAGAAAAAGTCTACATATTAATATAATTAATTTTACAAACTAAAAATAAATTATAATAATTTTTATAAACATGAATAAATTATAAATATTTTTATAAACCGGAAAAATTCAAGTATTGATACAATTATATTTATAAAAGAGTATAAGTTTCATATATTTTTATAAATAGACACACGCGTTCATTTTTATAAACGAGAATAATTTAAAATTATTTTTATAAATAAGAAATTCAAATTTGATAAATGATTATATATTGTAATTATATTAATATTAACCAACTGAGTACATGAAATAAATTCACGGGTAGAATAAATGTATCTATGACATACCAGATAATTGAAGTTAAAGAATTGAATGTACTGTTTTAAATGGCAATTAAGTTATATTTTTAAATACAAATTAGAAAATAAATTCATCTAAAATAAATTTCATTCATTAAATAAATATAGAAAATAATATACAATAGTTTTATCTATAAATTTTATTTATTTTTTATGTTCTTTTTAAAAATAATTGTAATTTAACGGAAAACTGTTATACATTATAGGTTGTAAAAAAATATGTAAATATGATATAATATAAAAGTTTTAAAACTGAAATTTGACGGGAGATGTCATACATTTTTAATTTGAAAAAATGGATTAATATATAAAATATGTTTAATAAATTTTTAAAATTAATTCATTTGGATTCAACTGAAGTTCGTTAACTCACGTAGATGTGAGCACATATAATATAAAAATATAAATTTGACGGGAGTTGTCATATATTTTAGGTTTAAAAAATCGGTTGATATCTAAAATAGATTTAATAAATTTTTAGAACTAATTCATTTGGATTCAACTGGGTTTGTTAAATCATCTTAATTCACGGGTAGATGAGAACGCATCTATGAGATACTGGCTATAGATTGTTAATTTTAATATTCATCTTTTAAATCTTATATAATTGAAGTTAGTGAATAGTCTGTATGATTTATTATAAATACATATTAATGCTTAAAAAACAAGTGCATATTATTAGTCTATATTTATTAGTCATGCATGTAAAGAACATAGATAACATCTTTTACATCCCTCGAATGTCTATGTCACATTTTGAGTCACCGTGACCATTTAAGTTGATTAGGAGAAAATTCTCAATTATTGTCTCTAACGCAATGACAATTAATAAATCCCAAGGCCAATCACTTGATATCGTTGGATTGTATTTGCCTACTCCTGTTTTTAGTAATGGACAATTGTTAGTAATGGACAATTGTGTGTAGCCATTTCAAGAGTTACAAGCAAAAGTTGTCTTAAAATCTTAATATATGATAATGAGAATGTATCATCTTCTATCACTACAAATGTTGTATACAATGAAGTTTTTCAATTGCTTTGTTAATGGGTAAGTACATGACAACACAAATGTTTTTGTTTATAAATTATTTGCATATTTGGTGTCTGATTTTTGCACAAATTATCATGCAGAATAATGAGTTGAAAACATCAATGGAAAGCAGGTTGCTTCATATCTAAAGTTCAAATACGATATTGTTATCATTAATGTTATCGATGGAAAGCAAATTAATTTGATACACTAATTTTTTTTCTAATTGATTGAACTTTGGTTAAATCATTTTAATATTTTAAATTTGAATAATATATACGAATGATCTATTACAATTCAAAGTTAGTTCTATATTATATGAAATTCGGACAGGACCCATATGATACCACTGATTTTTTAATAGTTGTATATCTAAAATCAAAACCATTGAACGAGCGCGCTCTCCTTAAAACAAAATTACAAAAACGCCTAAGGACATATGAAAACAAAACCACTGCTCTTATTCCATCTGAGTTGTGCACAGACCCGTCGCCATCTTACACGTACTCCAATCCTCCGCTTTGCATGCAGATCCGCAGCGACGCCGCCACGCTCATTGCAATTGTTTGAGTTAAGAAGGTATTCGCAATGTATATCGTAGGTTCTCGATGGTACTGTACTAATTCCTTCTGCTTTACACACAAATCCGCAGCCACCTTATATGGACTCCAATCCTTCCGCTTTGCCTGCAGATCCGCGGCGCCGCCGCCATGCTCACCGCATTTGTTTGAGTTAAGAAGGTATTCACAATGTATCGTAAGTTCTCGATGGTACTGTACTAATTCATTCTGCTTTACGCACAGATCCACAGCCATCTTACACGAACTTCAATCCTTGCGCTTTGCGTGCAGATCCGCAGCGACGCCGCCAGGCTCACTGCATTTGTTTGAGTTAAGAAGGTATTCACAATGTATATTCTAAGTTCTCGATGGTACTGTACTAATTCCTTCTGCTTTACGCACAGATCCGCAGCCACCTTATATGGACTCCAATCCTTCCGCTTTGTGTGCAGATCCGCCATGGTCAATTATATGTTGCAATTTCAAGAGTTAAGAGCAAAAGTGGGCTAAAAATCCTAATTCATGACAAGGAGAATGTACCGTGTTCTACTACTACTAATGTTGTGTACAAGGAAGTCTTTCAAGCACTTTGATAGTTGGTAAACTTTATATCTTATACTTTACGATTCAAATTAAAAATCTATTTTGAATTAAAATATATACTATGTACATTTTCCATGTATTTCAAGAAGTATATAATTTTTCCTATTTGTTCATGCAGACGTGATTTGTTGATAGGACTGACGCTTGCTACAAATATGGAGTTAAATGCCAACATGGTTTACATGAGACATATACTCAACTGAAAACATGGTAACATACTTAATAATTTAATAATCTATAAATGTAATGTGAATCCAGACGAGACCGGTGCGATAGCACGGATTTGTTACTAGTAAGTATTAAAAAACATGTATGTGGTTTCAATTTTAAAATTCAGTCCAAATTCAATCAAATCCAAATAATTTTCATACAAAAATATAAAAAATGTTTAATAATAAAATTTAATTTTATAAATAAGTTAAATCATATTTAAAAACATATAAGATCTCAAATATTTTTAAACTAAACTATAAATAAATAAAATCTTATAAAATATTTATTGAATCAAATCATAATTAAATAAAATCTCTATTTATTTTTTCATAATTAAATTGTTACGTGATATCCAAAAAAATTTACGAGGATATCCTATTACCATCATTATTCATAGGCAAAACTCTATTACTACTATGCCGTAACAAGAACAGCTAGCTACTACTATTATTATTGTCTGTCCGAAACAAATATCGTCATAAAAGAGTTTGATAATAGTATTAACATGTCAATAGTAAAAATCAATAAGAATATTTACAAGATTTAACGAATAAAGTAGCACCCACCACTAATTTCGCATACGTTTTTAATCCTATATTTACGGAAAGAAAACTTTACACCAAAATACACATCAAGCCTCAAATATACTTGTTTTTTTCGCTATCTCCTTTGTATCTTTGTTACTTTTCTTCGTGAGCAATGAAAAGGAAATCTTTGAAGAGTAAGCACGCTTGCAAAATCCTATTTCTGGAGCAATAAATTGACTCCAAGATCCGTTTGTGTTCATTAGTATCTAGCTTCTAACCCAAAAATCTCGTTCCGCTACCACAAAGTAATTAACAGATAAAATCTTTTTTAAAAAAGTTGAGAATAAAAGAATCTTAATATACACTAAGATACGATACCATAAAAGAAAAAAACCCAATTTTGACGCAACAAGAAAGAAATTACCTATTTGGATAAGTCTATTTTGTTTCTCTTTCTCCACCATTGATCTTTTAGCCGCAATGCTTAGAAAGGACTCACAAGTTAGGCAAAGAATTTAGTTTTCTTTTCTTTTCTTTCCTTTTTTTTCTCCTCTATTTTTTGTCTCTCAAATAAACCAAAAAAAAACCCTAAGTAAAAACCCCACCAATAAAGCAACTTTTTATTTTATTTTAAATTTAAGAATAATTACCGCAACCATTATTATTATTTATTAGTATAAACAAACCTAGTATAAAACCCAAACCCAATTCCCAAAAATTTCAGCTTTTTAAGTTAATGTTGTGTATTGAAAAGTAAGTCATCTGAACAAAAACAAAAAAACAAAACCTTTCAATTTCTTTCTCCTTAACTTGCTTCTTTACTTACCTCAATACCCCCAACAAGTTCTCTTACACAAGTCATTATTGTTGTTGTTGAAGAATGCTTCTTCCTATGAGCTGCATTCTTTTAATATGTCTGTTGAGTTCTTTCTCAACCCAAATCAAAGCCACTAAAAGTATTTCAAATCTCACCTTACCCCACCAACATCCTTACCCTGAAGCTGTAGTTCATGAACTTCAAGAGTAAGTTAACTCAAAATCCAAACTAACATTTGTTCATTCTTCAGCAAATTCTCAACATATACTTTTTTTTATTGCAGGAAAATCAATGTGTCACTTTCCAGAAGAGAACTCCTCGGAAAAACCCAAGGCGGTTGTTTAACTGGAAACCCAATAGATGATTGCTGGCGCTGCGACACGAACTGGGCGGCGAACCGTCAGAAGTTAGCCGAATGCGGAATCGGATTCGGGCGCGCTGCCATGGGAGGCAAAAACGGCCAGATCTATGTTGTCAGAGACTCCTCCGACTCCGACCCGGCGAATCCCGTTCCAGGCACACTCCGTCACGCGGTTATCCAAGACGAACCTCTCTGGATAGTCTTCTCCGCCGACATGACAATAAACCTCCGCCATGAACTTATCTTCAACAGCTTCAAAACCGTCGACGGGCGCGGCGCGAATGTTCAGATCACCGGTCACGGTTGCATCACACTCCAATATATCTCAAATGTTATCATCCATAACATCCATGTTCATCACTGTAAACCCTCCGGGAACACTAACATACGCGCGAGTCCAACGCATGTAGGGTACAGAGGGATTTCGGACGGTGACGGAATATCAATCTTCGGTTCTAGAAACATCTGGATCGACCATTGCTCGTTGTCTTACTGTACCGACGGTTTAATCGACGCTATAATGGGGTCCACTGCTATAACGATTTCGAATAACCATTTTGGTCATCACGATGAAGTTATGCTTTTAGGTCATAACGATAAATACACTCCTGATAGAGGAATGCAAGTTACCATTGCGTTTAATCACTTCGGAGAAGGACTTGTTCAGAGAATGCCACGGTGCAGGCTCGGTTACATTCATGTCGTTAACAACGATTTTACGCAGTGGGAAATGTATGCTATCGGCGGTAGTGCTAACCCTACTATCAACAGCCAGGGCAACCGTTACACCGCTCCCTCCGATCCAAACGCGAAAGAGGTACGCCGTACGCGGCGGTGGTGCTCGTGTTGATTTTTCCTAATTTACCCTTTTTGGTTTGAGTAGTTTTTTACTTTTTCTTATATTTTTTTATTGGTAATTTAATTTGATATCTTGTTGTCTGTAACGAATATATGCTTGTTTTGGTGTTGAATTTTACTCGCATGGGTGGCGCGTGGAGATGAAATGCTATATGCTAATGGTTAGTTTTACTTTTTCAGGTGACGAAGCGCGTGGAGACAGATGATAAAGAGTGGAGCGGTTGGAATTGGCGGACGGAAGGGGACGTAATGGTAAATGGAGCGTTCTTTGTGCCGTCGGGAGCTGGGATGAGTGCACAGTACGCGCAGGCGTCGAGCGTGCAACCCAAGTCCGCCGCACAAATCGATCAGTTCACCATGTACTCCGGTGTATTCGGTGATCCCAGGTACACCACCTCCTAGAACACTTAGCATTTTTCTTTTAATTGGACAAATTAAATAAAGTATTATAATTTAAATGCGGAATAGAATGATCTAACAACGGACATTACCTGTCTTATTAACTGGCAATTTAAAAAGGTTAATATCGTCTTTTCAGTTTAATAATATCTTAGGATAAAAAAGGTTACTATCGTCTTTTTAGTATATGATTAATTTACAGGAATGTCCTTGTTTCTGACTATATGGTCCCACAACTTTTTTTCTTTTGTATTGTCTTTTATAAAAAAGAAAAACACATGGTGTTGTTAGTTGAGGGACGCGGTACAGCACAAGAACAACTAAACACAAGTTGTTGATGAGTAGTGTAGAGTAGAGTAGTGTGAAAAGGTGTAAGGAATATTGTTATTTTAACGTGGTTCCACTTTCATTTCACTGTCTTGTTGTTTCCTAAACATTAATCTCACTTTTGAGGTAGAATTATTCTAGTGATGGAGTAAAACAAGTTTGGGATTTGTAAAAAAAATTAGCACCGTTTTTAATAATATAGTGACTCGGAGAAAAGTGGGTTTTTTTTTTTGCCTGTGCACGTGATTGTTAAGTAATTGGGAATCTCTTGCTCATGGCCCATCAGACATAGTATTTGTCTGCATTTGTCCTTTTCTCTTATTGTGTAGTATTAAAAAGTTGAGCATGTATGAGATAAAACCCTCTTTGTTTGTGTGGGGAGTAAGCTGATTTTGAAAGGTAAAACTTCTTTAAGATAGATTTGGGTAGTCTACTTGAAAGATGTGAGGTAATTTGTGATATTCGTTTTGAGTAGGGTGTGAATATTTTACAGTAAAAAGCGTGTAAAGTTTTTTAAAGCGTTTAAAGTGAAAGTAAACATAGGACTAGAGTCGTCTGTGTAGTTAACCCTAGTTTAAGTGAGATAAATCAAATAGAGATGTTATTTCATCCTAGTTTAGTTGCGACAAATATTTTGAAGTCATTTTTAGCTATAGACGGCCGTGAATAGGATCCGCTTAATTGAGTGTTAAAAAGTCAAGGTTCATGGTTTGTGATGTCATTTACGCTAAATGTGAGAAGATGAAAAGGACAAAAAAGAGTGTTTTCCTTGAGGTGGGGCAACTCGAAAGTAGTTGAACATTCGATCTAGTATGATATGAAAATGTGTTTGTAAGTAGTAACAAGTAGAAGAGATTTAAAGGATTGAGAAAGGCCGAAGAGAAATTAGAAGAGTGATAGAGAGATTATCAAAATAATTCAATCCAAATCTTATGAGCTCTTACACAAAAGATTTGAATGTGTGTAAACAGGGCTATAGTATAGGTTGAAAAAAACAAGGTTTCCAAAGGTATAGTGACAAAGACCTGTCCTTACGTTAGATATGTTTTGGAGGGTATTATGGGTAGATGAATGAAACTATATTCCCTTTTTATCTGCTTTCCAGCAAATAGGCGTGGGACCTTTCGTAATATAACATATTTGAGTACCCTTTTCCTCTTGGGCCCATATCTGATTCGACACAAACTGGTCACACAGCTCACCAAGTTGCTATTCAATCAGAAGTCTGAAAGGGACTCCTCTCCCCTTGTTACTTTCTCATACTGTTTCCAACCCTTAACCTTTTATTTATTGCTTCATTAGTCACTCTTTGATTCATTAGTCACTCTTTACAATTACATGGTCCATAGGGGTGGTAAATAAAGCATGCCTTTTCCACGTAGGCCCTTCCTGCAAAAGTCCAAAAAATATGGGACGGGACGGGCATAGTAAAAAATGCATACCTAAAACGTTGATCCGTTCGGCAAAAAAATTAGTACAGGGTAGACATGCAGACCTTGCACCTCTAAAAAGGTTAAAAGTTGCAAATATTATTGTTAATACTCGCAATGCTCGCAGAAAAATAGAACGGGGCGGACATATTAGATATTGTAGGTGTAAAACTTTGACTCATCCCACGAAAAATGTGGGCAACACAAGAATGCCAGGCAAGTCGGGCCTGTTTTGCCACCCCTCTCTAGCAAACTGATGTGTCTATTGATGAGTCTATTGTTTCATTATGTAGTCGACTGCGTCATAAAATGTAGTATGACTGGAGAGGATTCATGGTCTACTCTTTTAAAAAATGGATCTTCTAGCTGCTAAGAATTCAAGTCCTACTAAGATTTCAAACTAGTACCAAAATTAATTTATTTCTTATTTGACTTATTTGCCTAAATTTATTGAAATCTAGTCACACCCATGTATGTTTTTGACTCATACACTGAATACATTGCTAAAAAGCTTGTCTTTCCTACTATTGAAATCCACTCACTTTTTCTTACTCAATTTGTATTGCTATCGATGAACCTTTAAATTAAAAATGCAATTAAATCTCCATCAACAAATTAATGTTGCTATTGATATAGTCAATTTACTTCATTATTAAAATTTTGGCCTTTCCTTCAAGTTGAAGCTAGTCGTTTTTTCTTTTGTTAGCTCAATGTTTTCAGCATTATTGATGTTTTTTTAATAGATTCCCAAGTCTACCTAACAAAAATTAAGGTACTTTTCATTGAGACTTATTATGAATGAATTATTATTAATCAGGGATAATGGAGATATATATCCCGGTTTCAATGGCGCCGGGACCACCACTGGAGCCACCAGCAAGGGCTACAATGAGGGACCCAACAGTGACGGTGGAGACATCTTTGGTATGATATTCAAAGGCAGTAGCAGCCAAGCAGCACCACCAGCACCATACTCTTCAATTGTATTTGTTTCAACTTTCTTGTCTCTTTTAATTATTTTCAATTTGGACGTTATCACCAACTATGATATTCTATTATCATTATTATGATCTCTCACAATTGGGGTGGGAAAACAATTCCTTTGATCAAAAGAAAAGTTATCAAAGGAAAACAGATTAAAGTTATGGTCATTTATTTTACAGCTTAGAAATTAGAAATCATATTTCGTTAGTTATGCACAGCTATTAACCAGAGTTTCTTTTCTAACTTTTATATAAAACATTTATAGGTAAGGTATATTTGTGTCATTTTTGAATCTGACTCATATACACACTGTTTCTTATCACCATATAATATTTAACTCCATTATTTGATTATTCATGCTTGACTTTTCTGGCCTCTTGCAAGTAGATGTCCAATGGTGGTTATGGAATTTCAAAATAAGACTAAAAAAAGTATTTGTATTTATATACATTTAAGTGATAGGCGATTATACATATAAGTTTTTTGGTAAATTCTGAAATCCCAATGAATCTGTTGTGAGTAATTGTGAGATTTTTTTTTTGTCAAATAGCTTGTGGCTGGAGTTATGTTATTTTACAGTTTTGAAATTTGCCATTGAACAAAATATTGGGATGAGTTGCAGAACAAATCAATCTCTTTAAAATCTTTTGTGACACATTCTAAAATTATGCAAAGTAATTAAACTACTGCGTCGACTCCAGGATTAAATAATCAAATTTTATAATGTATGATTACTACTTGAATAGTAGATAATTGGTCTTAAAATATACTATTTGATGTCCCAAATTCTAATCAATGATGTTAAAATAACACTCGTAGTATCTGATATAAAGATCAGTCCACAGTCATAATAATTTCTCATGCAAGGAGAAATTCAAATAATTATTCAAAAAGAATTTAATAATGATCGTTTGATCATTCAATTTTTTTTTCAAATAAGAGAATCCAAAAAATTATACTTGATAATTCAACTCAAACGAGAAGAAATTAATATAAATCTCTAAAGTGAATTCAAGAATGTACTCAGAAAATTCAACGAGTAGAAATAAAGGGGAAGAAGTTGATGTTTTGACAATTCGAAAAATCTAGAGTAATGAGAGTGACGAAGGGAAAACTCAACAAAAGGAGTTTTTAGTGTGTTTAGGAATGAAACAGCAAATTTCTTTATAATGAAGTGAGCTAGCTAAGATATCTCACATAGACAATGTGAGACTAAGGAGTTTTTTAACTAACACACATTGTGTGACTTAAGAAATTTTTTCAAATTCATCGCCCTATATGGAATATTGACATAACGATCCCTCACTTGAATTTAAAAGTGTTTATGAAGTAACGTCAAACGTTTCTAAGATTGTGCATAAACGAATGTGTCTGTGACTTGAACCTTTGCGTAACAAGTACGATTATGAGTCAACAAAAGTGACACAATTGTCTTGAACTCTATCTCAGACATCAAACCAACATACAACATTTTCTTAAGGTGTATTCTAATAGCGCGTGCTTTAATGGCCTCACACGTGTATCCCAGTTTAGTGAAGACTCTAGAAATTTTGCCTCGAAATTCCATAGGAACCGGTCTAAGTTCCACAATCACATAGGTTAGTCTATCAAGAGAACTCTTGTAGCCTAAATACTCCCTCATACAAAGTATAGATCTCATTAGGAGCTTCTATCATCTCACCCTCTTATTGTTTCAGGATTTTGTATACCGTGAAATTTGGTACACAAACGTTAGTCTTCCCATTTCTAATGACTTTGGTTACTTGCAGGATCGACTAGATTGATCTTGGGACGACAGTGTATATTTTGTGCTTTCAAAGTTTTTTGGGTGTCAATCTCTTTGGTAGAGATTGTTACTTCGAAGGTAGTAATAAAACGATTTAAAGTAAAAACTGAAATGTAAAGCAATTGTGATTTAAACTTAAAGGGAATATAAAGGACTTCAATTGAAAAGGAATAACATTGAATATAAAATTGGTGCTTCATACGTACATTCTCAGCAACTCATTTCTCGAACACTTGGTACTTTGAGTTATTTTGAGTAATTTGTAAAATAAGTGAACACACATAATTCTAACATAAAAACTCCTATATATAATATTTCGAAACTAACTGTAATGAACAGACTTCTTCTTAGAGGATGACACGTTCTTGTTTGCATGTCTCTAACCTTACATAGGCTTCCACGTATCTTTTTTCAAAGATCTGATAAGCGCTAAACTCAGTTATAGCCTCATTTGAATATCTGTTGAACTCGCTTTGAGTATCTTCAAAGAAAATTGCTAAGTTATCAACCTTGCATTACTTCTCCCATGTAGACTCGGTCGAAATGTATCTTATATCACTTCATGTCGAATTTTAGCTTTTATCATCCCAACACTTGTCTTTTGAATTTTCCTCGAACCTCTATTTGTTAGAGCGTCGAAATTACAGCTAACAAATTGCCCTCCAAAATTATTTCTTTGAAATTACAGCTAACAAATTACCCTCCAAAATTGTTTCTTTTCGACAACTTTAAAAAAGGACATTTTTTGAAAGACTTTTCGACGCGAATACCAACATTATCGTGACGTCATGGTCATGACGATCACTTTTCCCAAAACACCTCATCAAGACCCGTGTAGCTCCTAATGATGATTACTCTTATAAACTAGAAGTAAGGTGGTAACTTGTGCAACCATTTTTACCTCCCATCATAAAGCTCCACGTGCCTCACTCACTTTGCATTCATCATTCAAATGCAATATGAAAAGGTTTGTCATCTTCCAATAAATACCCACAACCTTCAATATTTCAACACTTTTACACTCCAAGCTTTTCTGAACCGCAATATTTCTCAACGCTTCTTCTTCCAACTTCAACAATCTTCAAACCCTCAACCTCAAGACTTAACAATGGCGCCTAAAGCAGCAAAAGCTCCCAAGCAACAACAATAACAAGATGATTCTCATTCCATTGTGTAGATTTATAAACCCATACAAGTAAGAAACCAAGAATACATCCTAGAGCCTCCCCTTCTTGAAGAGAAGACAAAATTTTATGAATCTCAGGTACTTATACTCTTGGCCATTTTTAAGGAAACGCACACAATCATGGGTCTTTTGCTTGACCCTGATACAAATGCTACAACTCTTTCATAGTTTTTTTCTCATTTATCATTGTTCTAGGCCCTTGACTAGCAAGAAAAAACTTGATGACAAAGGTAAACCCATTCTTGTAATTGCACCTTCGCCTGAAAAAGACCAAGTGAAGTCCTCGACTGACGCTTTGGTTGTCCATGATTCTATTGACATAAATTACATGACCAATGCTCTTAAAGTGTTTCGAGCTACCCCTTTAGCTAAGGACCCCGGAGCATATTATGCATGGTTGGCTAAGATTGAGAAAAAGAAATCTCAATTTTGGAAAGATATGGAAATTTACGACTTAGTGATGCTGTCGAAATCTGGCTTAGAGTATAGACAAAATATGATAGTGGCCTCACTCTATTTCTAGGATGCTTCCCACAACAGTAACTTTGAAGGAAAAGTTTATGAAAAAGATTCCCAATCTTAACCTTCCTCTGTGTGTTAGACCTAAACAACGGTATGAGCTAGCTTTCAAGCTCGAACCTCCGAGATTCCCAAAATTGCCAACTGCTGATTTCGGCTTAGCATTCGGACTTTCATTCCTATAATTGTTCGTATGTGGGTCTCACCTGAAGGTTCTACAACAATATTTACAAAAACCTGCTAAACGGGTATCGCACCGCGAAAACACATAGTCGCCACCGAACTCTATTTATCCCGAAGGAAGGGAAGATATCAAGAGAACCCCAAAGAAATGGATAAGATGGTCTTGCTACCAAGAGAAAGGATACGGAAGTCGGTTACGCGAGGGGAAGGTATTAACACTCCACGCATTTGTGGTACTCCACATGATCCACTTAAGTTGCTCTAATCTAAGGGTGTATAAAAATCTATGTCTAAAGCTTAATGCTAAGAGAGAATGCATGCAAAATAAAATACGGGGAAAAGAAGGAATATTTACAAAGTTTTGCTCGCCTAGGCCCCATGACCTAATGCCTACGTATCCCTTTTGGGGAATCAGAGCGTCTTAGTTCGACTCACATGTTTCGGTTTGTTGTACGTTTTTTACCTTGAAAAAAGGTTTTAAAAGAAAAGCCAAGCGGCAAAACAAAGTTTGAATTGATTGGTGTTTTTTACCTTGAAAAAGGATTTTTATATTATTAGAGTGTTTTGAAGTTGAAAGAAAAAAAAAGAACTTTTAGTTTTAATGCGAATGCAAAAGAAAAAGAAAAAGGCCTAAGGGAAACTAGCAAAGTAAGACTAGAGTTATCATGTATGGTTTGCAACCTAAGGTCTATCTCAATTCGCTTCCTAAGATTGAATCGAGAAATCATACGGGAGCATGTAATCATGCAATGGGAAGTAAACACACAAAGCTTAATGAGTATCCACTGACTCAAGTAGAACACGCCTAACTGAGGTATCATGTTACCAAGAAAGGAAAGGGAGAGGGATCACGCCTAACCATGATATCGTGTCATCGAGGTAGGACAAGGGAGAAGAGGAACCTAATCATAATATCGAGCCATCAAGGTAGGATAAATCTAGGCTTAACCAAGATATCGAATCATCGAGGCAAGCAAGAAAGGGGGAATAGGTAGTTCTTAACCACGATAGCATATTATCGTGGCAAGAAGAATAAGGGGCGTTGACTCTTAACCAAGATATCACGTTATCTAGGCAAGAGAAGAACGGGAGTGAATCATCATAAGCGACTAAACACCTAACCAAGATATCATATTATCGAGGTAGGAGATAGAAGGCGATAATGAGATCATATCGAAGCGTCAACGTGCACAACACGTGAGATAGTGACAAAGCGTAGGGGTTGATTGCAAACCCTTCTCCACTTGACTGACTCGATACAAGAATATCACGATTCGTAGCATCGACATATGACGCGAGCTACAAATGACCTGTGGACTAGAAATTGTGGGGGTCGATTGCGGACCCTTTTCCACTTGCCTTCTTTGAGTACTTATCAATGGGGAATGGAAATGGGACGCCTTCATCGAGGT